TAATTTTCACCAAGTCGGCAGCCACTAAGTTATTTTTCTTTATTCTGTGATGGATGTGGTGTCATTGGTAAGGCCAGTGTTTGTTACCTGTCCCTAATTGCTCTTGATGTGGCTTGCTAAGCTATGACAAAGATGAGGAGGAAAGGAGGGTTACAGAGAACAGGCAGGAAAATGGAGTTGAGGCCAAGATGAGATCAGCCATGATCATATTGAATGGTGGAGCAGGTCAAGGCATTGAATTGCCTACTGTTGCTTCTACTTCTTGCGTTCTATTTCAGAGGGCAGTTAAGAGTTGCAGAGATCTGGAGTCACACGTAGGCCAGTCCTGGTAAGGATGGCTGATTTCCTTTCCTAAAGGACATTAGTAAACCAAATAGTTTTCTTGACAGTGACAATGATTCATGGTCATCGTTACTGAGATGAGTTTTTAATTCTAGATTTATTATTTTTGAATTCCACCAGATCCTTATGGAATTTGAACCCCTGTCCCCAGAGCATTTGCCTGGATGTCTGAAATACTAATCCAGTGACGTTACCACTATTGCAAGGATAAGGGGAAAGAGTGGGAGATTTTTCTGACTGGATTGGTCTTCAAATGATCTGATTTAGACTTGATGGGCTGCACTATTTTATGATTTTTTAATTTAACCAATAGTATATCACAAATTTGAGGATTGCTGAAAAAAATACACACTTTGTCAAAGATTTTCAGTTTACACTCATTAGGGTAACTTGCATAAAACCAATTCAAAGGCAAAAAACAAAATTTATGTTGCATGAGAGGAGAGTGAAGATTGGTTGGCAAGTAGGTTCTGATTGGCATAAGTGTTGTCATGGAAAATACTGGCTAATTAATGCTTGCAATTTGCAATAGCAATGAGTGACATTCTCCACTGACAGCATGCTGGTGTCAAGCCAAAAAGATGTTCTGCCTATAACGCAAATGAGTAATGTGGTATATCTATTCCAGTGTTGTATAATGCCAGGTATGTAGGTCTCCAACATTCAATGCAATTCTGCAATTGGACCACATTTGCAGGATAATCCTGAGTGTGCGAAGAATAATATTGAAAACAAATTTTGGATTGTCACTTGGGCACACATTTGACACACTGCATTTACTGGAAGCTACATAAATTAATGCACTTGGTCCTGTTCTTTGCAGAAAGAAGGAACATGAACACATACTGTGCCTGTTTCTGTTCAACATTTGTTGGCTCATTTCTCAGACAATGCACTGACCAATCAGAATCAACCTGCCTTGTAACCTGGCAGTTAACTGTCAATCATCATTAATTGGTGCAATCTTCATTTAAATGCCTCTAGCAATCACAGTCTCCTTGTCAAACAATCAGCACTGTCCTCCTGCAGTATAAATGTTAATTTCCCCCTCAAATTGGAATTATGTGAATTGTCCTGCTGAATGTAAAATGAAAACCTCATTGAAATGTGTCTTCTTTAAACAACAATCAGATTCTGTACTACCAGTGAATTATTTAAGTCATTAGTTAATAAATTACAGTAGGGGATAATTTGTGTGCTGTTGCATCTAGCAGAGATTTCTCTACCAGTGAGCACAGGTCCAAATCTTAGAGTTATGGAGTTGTAGTTCTACTTCTGTTTTTGCCTTCACCACTGATGACACCGTTGGGTGCACAGCTTTGCAATATTCGTACTAAATATTATAAATAGTATTACACTACTTTATACAGTCATAGTAATTAGAGGATTGAAGAGATCTGTAATGCAGGATTGTCTATTGTACTGTGCATCACAATTTTGGCCTTATGAATTTACTTGACAGACCAATGCATAAGCAAATATTCTTAGAGGGAAAAGAAGCTATACAAAAGCAACAAAGTTCAGCTGATATGCCTTTGCTATAGATGCCAGATTCCATTGGAAGGAGAGTTGGTAACTTAGAAGGATGTATTCAAGGTAATTGGGTACGAATACAGGGATAAATTAAGTTTAACGTGTTCTGATAATATGAAAGAGTGGTGAAAACAGATAAACTGGTAAACTTTGAAAGAGAATCAGAAATGGAGAAATCTGGAGGAAAGGATAAGATTGTAAAATTCATCGTTTTACACTTTTAATATGTAGTATAAACACATGCACCAAATTATCTCCTGAGCTGCATCCTCCATATCAAAATAGTAATGTTTTTCATGGTCATTTGTAACGACAAAGTGAGGAAGAGGAATTAGCTCCCCTCTCTTTAATCTCCTCTCACTTAGTTGCTACAAATTTTAAAAATTTCCATTTTGCATATAGCTATCACATTTCAATTAAAACATAATTTGCTACAAAATGCAGCAGCCAATTACTAGGATTTTCTTAAGTGAAATAAAGAGGAATTTATTACCTACAAACCCTGAGAAAAAAATTATAAAAATGTAACATTGTACACATACAAACATGGGTAATAAGTTTTTAAAAAGAATGCTATTTACAGCTTTAAGGTTATCAATTTAAGAGTTCTTAGAATCTTTGAGGTGCTAGATTTTAAAACTAAGGCCACAGTTAATTAATAGTTGACTCCTGTTTGCAGCATTAACAGAATCTGTAGATCTTTGAGTCTTTGATGAATGGTTGGTTTCCCATGTTGCTTTATCATGGAGTGCTATTTTCCAAGATGATGAGAGAAACAGGCAGGGGGAGAGAGAGAGATAGAGTTTCTAGCTCTTGTCACAAATTAGTTTTTTATTTCCCTCTGCACTGCTGCTCAAATGCTGTTGAAATATAATTTGGTGTGTATTCCTGAGCCTAACTCCAATGTCTTTCCAAGATAGTTAACTGGCAAGCAAACCTTTCATCTCCCAACATGTGAAATTATCATACATGTGTGATTTAAAACAGAAGATACAAACTTCTTAACGCTGAATCAGCTACCTTATTTCAACATGTTTAGATAAAATTGATAATTTTAGTGCAGAAGGCTTTGCTAGTTTCACATGCCTCTCATGAAGCCCTCTTCAATCTGTGGTCAAGTGACCACTGAACCATTATAAGTCTATGTTTTGCGTTTTTATAACAATGTTTTTGTTCATGAAAGGTCTTGGGAATAATAATCATAGAGTCATACGGTATGGAAAAAGGCCTTTTGGACCAACTTGCCCATGCCAACCAAAATTCACAAGGATGTCACAGAGACTGGAAGGCACAAGCCACAAGTAAAGGCTTGATAGGCTGGGAAACCCCTCCGGAGCACAGGAGACTAAGGAACGACCCTACACAGGCCCACAAAATCATGAGGGACATAGATAAGGCAAAAGCCAAAGTTCCCCTCCCAGGTAGGAGAGTCAAAAACAGGTTCAAGGCAAGGGGGGAAAATCTCAAAAGGGACGCAAAGGGCAACAGCTCCCACAGAGAGCAGAACATAAATGGAATGAGCTGCCAGAGGAAGCAGCAGAGATGCCTGTTTTAAATTACAACATTTAAAAGACATTCGGACAGGTACATGCATAGGAAACGTCCAGAGGGGCGTGGGCCAAATGCAGGCAAATGGAACTAGTTCAGTCTAGGAAACCTGGATCTTTACATCTTTAATATCCAGAAACAATAATGCAGCATTGTGTGAAACCATCCACAATCCCCAAACATAAACCCCTTCACTGCCCCATCTCACTGCTCATTGGCTGGTCCTCCTGTCTCCCAAAACTGAGAAAAGTATAAATTCTTTCCCGTTGATTTTGGTGATGACATGGATTCATCTGTCTCCCGCTATCTCACAGCATATGATATCTTACAACAGCATCCCTTTTCACCAACGAGTGGTTTACATGCTAGTCTCAAAAGCTACAGTGACAAATCCCCGTTCCTGTTTAGGATATCCAACAGTCTGTCTGCACACACACCAGAGAATAAAAATGCCCACAGAACTCAAAGAGTCTTTCAACAAGTCTGCAACACAAGGATGTCTGAGTTGGCGATAGACTAGAGAGGTTTGGGATTATGCTCCCTAGGATAGAGAAGGTTCAGGGCGATTTCAACTGAGATCTAAAGAATTACGAGGTCTCTAGATTTTATAAAACTGGAAAAATTGTTTCCACCAGCAGTTGGTTTGATAACCACAAAATATTGATGTAAATTGCCATCAACTGGAAGGTGCTGCCTGAATGGGTGATGGAAGAGATTCATTCATGACTTTCAAAAGATAATTGGATAAAGATGCGAAAGGGAAAGACAGAATAGGTTGTTGTGGTAGAATTATCTCTTTAGCTTTAAATTGAATTAGTCAAGCACCTTGGCAACTGCTCAAATTTGCCTTGCCCCGAGCTGTGATCATTAACCAAACCACAATGCAAATTTATCCAAATTTCCAGTTTCATGAGGATATAAATTCCCACATCCTCATCATACCCGACCAAATTTCCTTTCTTAATGGGTTAGAAGGTGCGTTGAATAGCAGACAAAGGGATATTGATGAGAGGTCACTATTGAACGGAAACTGAATTGGGTTAGACACGTAAACACTGTGATTACAAGTGCGGGTCAGAGGCTGGGAATCCTGCAGTGAGTAACTCATCACCTGACTTCCCAAAGCCTATCCAACATTAACAAGTCAGGAGTGTGATGTTTCAACAACACTCAGGAAGTGCATGTGAGTGTACAAAGTGCACTTCAACAATATCCTTCAATCTGTCACCCTTATTAACTACAAGGACAAACTGTTTGGGAACAGTTCCATTGGCATGTTCCACTGTAAGCTACAAACCATCTGATTTAAGACCATATTACTGGTCCATCATGGACACTAGTCAAAATAGAGTCATTCAGAATGGAAGAAGACCCTTCGGTCCAATTCATCCATGTCGACCAGGTTTCCCAAACTAAACTAGTCCCATTTGCCTGCCTCTGGCCCGCATCCCTCCAAATCCCTCCCAATCAAATGATTGAAATTAGAATTCAATGGTCCATATTTACAATTATCGTAACACTGAATTGTAAATATAATCAAATCTCTAAATATTTTTGACACAGGTGCTAAATCTTACCGTGTAACCATTATAACATGAGGGTTTGATGCCAGTAGCAGATAAGAATCTGAAAAACAGAATTAGGAATCTAAGTTGATACTTTGTAAATTAAATTAGGACTGACAATTAGATATGTTTAATCCTGTCATACCTGGACAGAGATGAACTCTATTATAATGCAATGTGTTCCACTGCAATTGTGTTGTGCATGGTGTTGATAGTGAGGATAGTAATTATCTGTTGATTGAAACTTTACACCAATAAGCAGGATATAGGCTTAAATTTTTAATAAGAGTTTCCTAATGCATACATTTTCATAGATGGCAGGACAAATTGAGTGGCTAGCAAAATATACGTAAATTCAAGCTTCATTAGTAAAATTATTGCAAACAAAGCAAGGAGGCTATGCTGAACATTTATACAGTTTTGTTTAGGCAACAACTAGAGTATTGCATCCAGTTCTGATCATCATACTTTAGGAAGTAAGAATCCTTGAGAAGGTGTAGAGGAGATTCACTAGGATTGTTCCAGGATGAACGTTTGTTAGCCTTGGAGCAAAGGAGCTTCAGGAAAGATTTGGTAGAGGTGTACCAGCTTTTTACAGGTTTAAATAAGGTAGACAAAGAAAATCTCTTCCCATAATCTGATGGCACAAGGACAAGGGGATACTATTTAAAGTTCTGGGCAAGAGATACAGGGATGAGAAAGAAGTGTTTTTATGCAGCAAGTAATTATGACTTGGAACTCGCTGACTTTTACAGCAGTAGGATGAAAATATTGTGATAGGGATTTGCATGGCTATGAGGATAGAACTGTAAGACATAGGAGCAGAAGTAGGCCATTCAGCCCATCATGTCTGATCCACCATTCAATGAGATCATGGCTAATCTGATAATTGTCAAATCCACTTTCCTGTCTTTTCTCCATAAACCTGATTCTATTACTAATTAAAAATCTGTCTATCTCAGCCTTGAATATAGTTAACGACCCAGGCTTTATGGTAAAGGATTCAACAGATACACCATCTTCTGATAGAAGAAATTCCTCTTTATCTCTGTTTTAGATGAACAACTCCTTACTCTGAGGTTATGCCTTCTGGTTCTAGACTCTCCCACAAGGGAAAACAGCCTCACCACATCTACTCTGTTAAGCTCCCTATAAATCATATATGTTTCAGTAGCTTATTCTTGTCATCAGACCAAATCTACTCAACATCTCATAAGAAAAGCCCTGTATAGCCAGGATTAAACCTTGTGAACCTTATCTTGGCTGCCCCAAACCACTATTTCTTTCTTCAGAGAAGGGGGACCAGTATTGTTCACAGGTATTCTAAATGTGGTCAGATTAGTGCCTTGTATAGTTTTATTAAGATTTTCCTATATTTATACTCATTCCCTTTGAGATAAAAACCAACAGTCCATTTACCATTCCTATTACCTGCTGAACCTGTATACTAGCTTTTGTGATTCATACATAACGACTGCCAAATCCCTCTCTTACTGCAGCTTTCTAGAGCCTTTCTCCACTTAAGTAATATTCAGCTGCTCTATTCTTGCCGAAGTGCGTAACCTCATATTTTCCTTCCACCAGTTTTTTTCCATTTATTTAATCTGTCTGCATCCCTTTGTAGTTTATTTGTATCATTCTTCCACCTACCTTTGTGTCATTTGCAACTGGGGTATAGTACATTCCCTACCATCATCCAAGTCATTAATCTCTGTTGCAAATAATTTTGGTCCTAACACTGTTATGTCCTGAAAATGTTCCCTTTATCCCAACTCTCTGTCTTCTATTAGTTAGCCAATTATCTATCCATACTAATATATTGCCACGAACACAGCAGATCCTTATGTGTAGTACCTCATCATGCATTTTAAAAATTCAAATATACTACATCTACTGGTTCCCATTGAACTATCCTGCTTGTTACCTCCTTAATGAATACTAATAAATTTGTCAGGCATAATTTCCCCCCATGATTATTTGATTATATCAAGCATTTTAAATGCTCTGCTGTTACATGCTTCATAATATACTAATATTTTCCTATTGACAGATGTTAAGCTGACTAGTCAATAAATTTTTATTTGTCTCCCTCCCTTTTTGAATAGGAGTTAATGAGGGTTTGTCAAAAAAAATTATATTAATTATGGGTGACTTTAATCTTCATGTAGATTGGGAAAATCAAATTCACAAACGTAACAATGAGGAAGAAATCATGGAGTGTAATCAGGACAGTTTCCTGAAAGAATAAGTCATTGATCTAACCAGGAATCAAGTTATTTTGGATCTGCTGATGTGTAATGAGTCAGGTTTAACAAATTATATCAAAGTAAAATGTCCCCTAGGAGAAAGTGATCATAACATGGTAGAATTTAGCATTCTGTTTGAGAGTGAGAAACCTGGGTTGGAAACAACTGTGCTAAAATTCAATAAAGGTAATTACATAGGGAGACCCCATCTCCCAGATTAATGGATCTACACTAGACTCTAGTTATGAATAGCTTTTTCTAAAAAAATCCTGTTCTTTAGGAAAAACCAGTAAAATTTAGAAAAGATGGGTATTGATCCAACTGGTCTTGAATACCTTAAAATGCAGTGCCAGTTTTAATGTCTTTCCTTCTGAATTGTATTCAAATCCATCTATGGACTTGTCCTCCCCATCTCTGCAATCTCCTAATGTAATAAATCAGGAAGCCTGACTGGAAAGGAACACTGTTTAATGTTGAATACCAAAATAAAGCCACTACTGGTAGTGCACAAAGGCTAGTCTCAGCTTGGGACATACAGTTCTGTGCACCTGTCCCCAGGTCTGCTTTTGTTTAATGCAGAAGTGTTATCACATATAACTGAGCATCTTTTATTCCGTATCACCAAATCACTGTGGTATTTTTTCATCCACTAACCACCACCAGTAAATCACCCATGTTTCCAACTGGATAATTTACGTGCAAATCCCATTAAGGGCACTGCAAACCATCAAAGATGAGGGAGAGGTAGGAAGACTGGGAGCAGCTAAATCAAAATGGAGTTGGACAGTAAAGAAGGTTATCTAAGATTACAAAGAGTTCTTGATCAATTGGGTCAAAAGGCTGAAGAGTGTGAGATGGAGTTTAATTTGGGTAAATGTGAGGTATTTGATTTTGGTAAAGAAAGGCAAGACTTATACAATTAATGGTAGGGCCTTGGGTAGAGTTGTAGAACAGAGAGACCGAAGGGTTCAGGTACATAATTCTTTGAAATTTGTATCACATATAGATAGGCTGGTTAAGAAGACATTTAGCATGCTTGCTTTAATTGCTCAGAACTTTGAGTACAGGAGTTGGGATGTTATGTTGAAGTTGTAGTGGATGTTGGTGAGGCCTCTTCTGGAGTACTGCTTCCAGTTCTGGTCTCCCTGTTATAGGTAGGATATTATTAAGCTGGAGAGGGTTCAGAAGAGACTTACCAGTATGTTGCTGGGAATGATGGGTCTGAGTTATAAGGAGAGATTGGATAGGCTAGGACATTTTTCACTGGAGCATAGTAGAGTAAGAAGTGGTCTTACACAGAAAATAATGAAGGGTACAGATAGTCTGAATGGTAGATGTCTTTGCCCTAGGGTGGCAGATTTCAAGACTAGAGGGAATACTTCTAAGGTGAGAGGAGAAAGAGTTAAAAAAGACATGAGAGGCAATTTTGTTACACAGCGAGTGGTTCATGTGTGGCGTGAACTTCCAGAGGAAGTGGTGAATGCAGGTACAGTTACAACATTTAAAAGTCATTTAGATAAGTACATGAGTAATAAACATTTGGAAGGATATGGGCGAAGTGCAGGCAGGTGGGACTGGTTTAGTTTGGGATTATGATCAGCATGGACTGTTTGGACCAAAGGGTCTGTTTCCATGCTGCCTGACTCTACGACTCTGTTACTGCCACCATTCCCTATGCAGCCAATTAGATATTTACATGTAAAGCACATGGTGGAGAATACAAACCATCTGATTCTGCCAATTCAATAAATTACTCAAGTCATATGATGCTACTTTCCTTTAGATATTCCAATTCAGCCTCTCCTTTGGTATGTAGGACAGAGGGGACTGGCTGTGCCTTAAGTATTTGGGTCGTGCCTTTGGGTCTACAGAGATTTTGGCTTTGGCATCTTTTACTGTATCTTCCTGAGGCCTTCTTTAAACACTTCAGGATATTGCCCAATGACTTCATAAAGATCATCAGTACACACTTTAAAAATCTGTTGCTAATCCAGGCAGATTTTCTGTAGCCATTCTCCTCCCAGAAGATTGAGAATTGGTACTTGTACCACCATTAAAAGGAGTTGGATTGTCTGTTGCCTATGTGTATGGTGTAACATAAGTGCAGCATGGATGTTCTTGCTCCTCACTGTATTGTGGAGAAATTTCTCCAGTTCTGCCACTTTCCAGTCTCTGACTCCAGTCGCCCCTTCTTGGCAACAATTAGGAGCCGCAAGTATTACCTGCTTAGGATTTGGCTGTGCTGTATGGGTGTCACCTAAGATTTAGCAAAGTACAGTCTGTACTGCCCTGAAACACCTGAGCCACTTTTTCCACGTTTTTGCATGAAAGGTCCAGTTCTATGGTTTTCTTGAGGTCCAGATCTGGTTCAGTCAGTAGCTTTCTTTGGTTGCAATATTATTAATTCCACAAACTAAGCGATCCCTTAACATTTCCTGAAGTACTGACCCGTGCTCATAGTGTTCTGCCAATTTCCTCAGTTTCATCAAGAATTCAGTAACTGGTTCCCCAGGAAGTCTGTTTATCATGTTAAACCTGTACTTCTGCAATATAAAGATGGTTTGGGGTCACAGTGGTCCACTACCATATCTATCAGTTCATCAAAAGATTTTGATTCCAGGTCTCCCAGGTAGGTTAAACTCTATGATACTGAAAGTTGGGCCCCCCAAGCAGTCAGAAAAATGAGCTTTTGTCAGTGATTCCCTTCTATCCTGTTTATCTGAAAACAAATTGTCTAATTCTTTCGGTGTACTGGGCCAATCCTCCATACCCACACCACAAAGTTCCAGTTTTCTAAACAGTGGCATTTTCAATATTACCCCTTCATGGCCTCAGCAGAATCATTGAAAGGCAAGGCTATGTGAAACCTTTCTTGATTCCATTGCCAATTTAATGTCTCAGGAAACCTGACTGAAAAGGAACATTGTTTATTGTTGAACACCAGCTAAAGCCACTACTCATCCCTGGATCTGCTTTATCTTGTTTTTATATCTGGAAGTGATATCCTCTTGATCAGGTGGGATTTGAACCTAAACCTTTTATTCCAGGGGGTAGGGGCACTACAACTGCAGCACAAGAGGGCCCCACAACATGTCCAGAGATGTTAAGACACACCTCTGGAGTAGGTGGGACTTGAATCCAGGCCTCCTGGCTCAAAGTGAGGGATACTACCACTATGCCACAAAAGCCCTCAGAGGTCTGCTTCATTTTTTCTTTTCTTTTTATAATACCGGTAGTTCTCCTATAACGCGATAGTTGCGTTCTTGTGTGACCTCATACTACAGAAAATCACACTATAGAAAATCGCCACTGAAAATTGCGTTATAGAGAAATCCCTATAGAAATTTGTTATACCTGTTCAGCAGAAAGTTCTTGTTATCCAAACAGTGTCCACTATTCATCAATCACCTTACAGCCAATTTGAGTTAACGAAACATGGGTTATAGCAGAACCACCTATACTGGGTGCACACAACTGGGCAACTTTCCCACCACCAAAATCACCGTGACTCTTTTTATTTGTTTTCCTATTAAACACTAACTGCCGCCAGTAAAACACCCATGTAGCCAATTAGATATTTACACGCAGAGCCCATTAGGAGCACTGCATACCAGCAAAAATATGTATGGAGGTAGAGATAGAGGGAAGGGACTAAATCACAATGGAGTTGGAGAAGGGGGTGTGCTTTATTTATCTTTGTTTTTATTTATACCCAGAAGTTCTACCGCACAGAACTGAATGATTTTCCAACCACTAAAATCACCGTGACTTTTTTGTGTTTATTTTCCTGTTTTAACTATTAATTGTCACCAGTAATTGATGTGTATGCAACTAAATATTTACAAGCAAAGCCCAGATGTGAGAGGGAGGTAGAGAGAGACAGGGAGGGAGTCTGCTTTATAAAGGGCTCAAGTGATGAGTTCCAACTGGGGAGGTCATGGGGCTCTTACCGAGGTAACTCATACTCCATGAGCACCTCAAGGAGCTCCCTATGGAGCATTGTAAGGGTTATCATTGCCTAAACCTCTATTAATGCTCTGAGATATCTGTGCTCCTCCAATTCATGTCGTTTGAGCATCTTTGATGTTAATTGTTTCGCCAGTGGTTTTAATCGGTGCAGAAAACATTTAATAGAATGGTTCCAGGAATGAAAAATAAGCTGGAATTGTTCTCTTCAGTGAAGTTTAAGAGGAGATTTGATAGAAATACTCAAAATCATAACAGGTCTATAGTTATAGACAGGGAGAAAGTGTTTCTTATTATGATGGGGTTGAGAATCACAGGACAATGGTTTAATGTGGTAAGAAAAAGAAAGAATTGTGCCATGAGGTCATTCAGGGAGGTGATTGCCCAACAGTGTTATTACTAGACTATTGATCTAGAGACCCTGATAACATTCTAGGACCGGGGTTCAAATCTTACCATGGCAAATGGTGGAATTTGAATTCAATAAATATCTGCAATTAGGAGTCTAATGATGACAGTGAAACCATTGGTGATTGTCAGAAAAACTCATCTGGTTCACTAATCCCTTTTGGGGAATGAAACTGCCATCCTTACCTGGTCTGGCTGACATGTAACAACAGACCCACAGCAATGTGACTGAGAGTTAACTGCCCTCTGGGCATTTAGGGATGCGCAATAAAAGCTGGTCTGGCCATTGACGCCCACATCCCATTAATGTGGAGCTCTATTTAAGAGCTGTATGCATCAGCTCTGTTTCAGAAAGGGCCTGCTGAAAGTGCGAGATCAGTAAACTTCAAACAGTCAGGAAGGACAGGTCACATCCAAAGTAAGACACAGACTGAGTGAGGATATGGTTCGGGAATTTACAGGCAATTTGAGAATTCGGTGCAGAGAGGAAGAGGTGCTTTTTGCTTGCTTTTTTTGGCTCATAGTTTGTAAGGTCTTTTTGCAGGATAAATTGAAGCCCAGGATGAGGGGCCCAGCACAAAAGAGTGACATCACAGGTAAAATTCATTGGTTGGTGATAGCTACCAATTTGATTATTACTACAGGTTTCTTTCACATTGAAGGTAAATAAGGGAAAATTTTACAGGCTACAAACTGAAAGACCAGTACAAATTTTATAAAAAATCAAATTAATAACTAAGTAATTAAAATCAATGATACTAGATCAGGTGTGTAGGAACTAGTGGACCCCATTGTTGTTAGTAGTGACCGCATTTGTAGCAAGTGTTGATTGCTTGAGGAACTCTGACTCAGGTTGACAAGGTGATGCATAGGAGTCTGCTAAGGAGCAAGGCACTGGATAAAAGATTGGCTGACTGGCAGAAGGCAGAGAATAGGGATAAAGCGGTCTTTTTCAGGATAGCAGTCACTGACTAGTGGAGTTCCACAAGGGTCAGTTTTGGGAGCACAACTATTCACTTTATACATTAACGATCTGGATGAAGGAACTGAGTGTATTAATAGGTGGAGGAGCAGGCACTGGTGAGGAAGTAGGGAGGCTGCAGAACGACGTAGACATGCTGGGCAAGTGGGCAAAGAAGTGGCAGATGGAATACAATGTGGAAAAATGTCAGGTCATGCATTTTGATAAGAAGAATTGAGGTATAGACTATTTTATAAATGGCAAAAGGCTTCAGATATCTGAAGCACAAGGGACTTAGGAGTCTTAGTTCAGGACTGTCCTAAGGTTAACATGCAGGTTCAGTTGACAGTTAGGGAGGCAAATGCAATGTTAGCATTCATTTCAAGAAGGCTAGAATACAAGAGCAGAGATGTACTATGAAGCTGTATAAGGCTGTGATGTGATCACTTTTGGAATATTATGAGCAGTTTTGGCCCCATATCTAAGGACAGATGTGCTGGTGCTGGAGGACTTCCAGAGGAGGTTTACAAGAATGGTGCCAGGGATGAAGGGCTTGTTGATATGAGGTGCAGTTGAAGACTCTGGGTCTGCACTCGATGGAGTTCAGAAGAATGAAGGGGCATCTCATTGAAACTTACAGAATATAGCGAGGTCTTGATTGAGTGGATAATGGAGAAGAAGTTTCCACTAGTAGGAGAGACTATGACCCAATGGCACAGCTTCAGAGTGAAGGGACAACCTTTTAGAAGTGAAATGAGGAGGAATTTCTTCAGCCAGAGGGTAGTTCATCTGTGGAACTAATTGCCACAGAGGGCTGTAGAGGCCAAGTCACGTTTAAGACAGAGATAGATAAGTTCTTGATTAGTAAGGGGATCAAGGGTTATAGGGAAAAAGCAGGAGAATGGTGTTGAGAAGCATATCAGCCACAATCGAATGGTGGAGAAGACTCAATGGGCTGAATGGCCTAATTCTGCTCCTACATAGGGACTTATAAATAAAAAAATGAGGAAACACTTTTTCCCACACCAAGTAGTCTAGATCTAGACTGCACTGCCTGAGAGTGTAATGAAGGCAGACTAAATTTTGGCTTCATAAAAGATGTGTATATGCATTGGAAGTAGAAAATTACCAGGCTGTGGGGAAATAGCAGGTGTGTGGGGACTAACAGAATTCCTTGAATGCCATCACAGAGTCAATGGATTGACTGGCCTCCTTTTGGGCTGTAACATTCTTGCACAATGAAACATTTACACAACAATCTGTTGTCTTTAAAAGTGCAACATGCTATATTTCATGGATCACTGTACAGACTGACAAAGCGCCAATAAAAAGTGAACATATAAAAACACAGAAACGTCTGTTTTGGGAAGTCAAACAAATGGGTTTTATGCAAATCAATGAATTTTCATGGTCACCATTACAGAGACTAGCTTTTAAAGGCACAGTGGTAAGTCCCTACTTTGGATCCAGGAGGTCTGAGTTCAAGTTCCACCCTACGTCAGAGCTGTGTGTCATAATATTCTGCACAGAATGATCAGAGAAGAGACTATCTTTTACATTCCAGATTTTTTTTATTAGTTGAATATAAATTCCGCCATCTTGTATAGTGGGATTTGAACCCAGGGCTCCACGAATTAACGTTGGCCTTTAGAGTATTCGTCTCATGATATCACCACAGAACCAAACTATCAATGCTCAATCTGTCACTGGTAAATTGATAAATATTTTGAGTCTGTCTGATTAGAATGAAAACTTTCTTTTAAGACTAGCTAATCTGAACTTTTATTTGATATACTGATAACATAACTCACTCATCGATGGAGAACTTCATCCGAAGTTCCAGCGCCAGGCTGAAATACTTGTATGGGCAAGACATGTTGTCAGCGCAGGTTCCACAGGTGCCATGTTTAGTCCATTCACTTTGCCTGCAATGTAGGGAAAAGTGTTTAAATCGTAATGCATATTTGTGACACTAACACCAAAAGAAACAGATCAATTAGTTTATCTGGCCGGAGGCGTCAGGCTGGGGACTGGTCCAGGTGGTCAGTGGCTTACGAGCCTGATCAGACTGCATGTGGAAGTCCTCTGCGTTGATCTAAGCCCTTTGTAGAAAGATTGTAATGTTTATCTTTTTAACTTTTTTTTTCTTATTTTGCTAACTTGTACAAAGTTCTTCTTTCTCTATTTTGTATCTAAGATTTGTACCTAAGGTGGTGCCATGTGGGCCGACATTGTAAACTTTTCACTGCACTACTCTACTTGAGTATATGTGACAGTAAACCTAATTCTAGTTCTGTACTTCAGATTCAACTTCGGAAAACTAACTGTGTCCCTTACATTTTATTTGTGTAGTCACAGATAAAGAAGTGGCAAATTACACGGTTCCATTCATGAATGGAGTTTCATCAGATTCAGTGGAGGCTTTTATTTGTGCATGTAACATTTGATTTCTATGAATAAGATATTCCATTAAAGAATAAAAATGCTGTTCCTGTTAGTGAGGGAAGAAATTACATTATCAGGTTTCTGTGTCACAAGAAAAATGACACCAAATATTGATCAGGTCTTCAGTCAAAAGCAACTGAATAAACTTTTGGCTGTAGACATTGATGGACTAAAACAAAATTCATTAAAAGAAAAAATTAGGACTAATTTCATGGAATGTTTTTCAGTGTCTGAGGGCATTGCATGTAGGATAGTAACACCAAGTCTTTATATGAAACAGACGTATTTGAATCACGGACTGAAGTTGCTGGAAAAGCTCAGCGGGTCTGGCAGTGTCTGTGAAGAAAAATCAGAGTTAACATTTTGGATCCTGTGACCCTTCCTCAGAACAGGTCCCGAAACATTAAATCTGATTTTTTCATCACAGATGCTGCCAGACCTGTTGAGCTTTTCCAGTAACTTCTGTTTTTGTTCCTGATTTACAACATCTGCAGTTCTTTCGGTTTTTATTAGTATTTGAATCACAGGAGGGATGATGATGAAAGGGGACATGGAAGCCAGGGATCACCTAATAACACTTGCACTACTTGCAACTCCTTCCATTACCATAATGGTAACTCAAGCCATCCTGGGCAGAAATGTGCACTGCTACTGTTACATTGGCTGCGTCCATTCCTCATTCTCTTCCTTGTCTTCTAAATATATTGTACGCTCTACACCTTGCTATTCCTGAAGGTCCAGATCTCAGTGGATTTGTTGGCCAAGGAGGTATATCATGCCACATCCAAACAGGTTGGATAAAAGCATTTTTTGAAATTAAGTCAGCACACCACAAACATCACGGAGATCCTAATGGTCCTTATCGAAGGGCTCCTCCAAGTCTATTGAAGCAGCAGATCTGTAACTTCATTGTGTGAATTGCTTGCTGAGTGATACATCTGCTTGTCATATGGCTTTCATTTTTAGAGTCATAGAGTTATACAACACGGAAACAGACCCTTCGGTCCAACTCATCCATGTCAACCAAATATCCTAAACTGATCTAGTCCCATTTGCCAGCATTTGGCCCATATCCTTTTGAACCCTTCCTATTCACGTACCTATCCTGATGCCTTTTAAATGCTGTAATTGTACCAGCCTCCACCACCTCATCTGGCTGCTCCTTCCATACACACACCACCCTCTGCATGAAAAGTTACCCATTAGGTCCCTTTTAAAATCTCTCCCCTCTCACCTTAAACCTATGCCCTCTAGTTTTGGACTCCCCTACCCTGGGGAAATGACCTTGGTTGTTCACCTTATCTATACCCCTCATGATTTTATAAACCTCCATAGGGTCACCCTTCAGCCTCCGATGCTCCAGAGAAAATAGTCCCAGCCTATTGAGCCTCTCCCTATAGCTCAAACCCTCCAACCCCAGCAACATCCTTGTAAATCTACACCATATACACTGCAGCAGTTGAAGGAGGATGCTCATCACCACCTTTACAAGGGCAGTTAGGGATAAGAAATAAATGGCAGCCCAGCCAGTGACCCCCATGAACAAGAAATAGAAAAAGCCTAGTGGTAATGCCTAGTGGTAAGGTCTTTTAATCTAGAAGCCCTTGTTAATGCTTCGGGAACTTGGGTTCAAATCCCACCACAGTGGCTAGTGGAAGTTAAATACAATAAATAAAGCTGGTCCTTCAAGATTATGACAACTATCATGATTGGATGGAAAAACCCATTCACTTCAGTCAAATAAAAACAAAGCGCTCAAGATCTGAAATACAGACAGAGAGTGTGTAGAAACTCAGCAGGTCTGGTAGTGTCTGTGGACAGAGGAACAGAGTTAATGTTTCGATTCCAGTATGATCATTTGCTTCACTAATCTGCCATCCTTACATGGTCTGGCCCACAGCAATTTGGTTGATTCTTAACTGCCCTCAGAAATGACAAAGCAATTCATTCAATTTACGGGCAATTAGGGAAAGTCAACAAATGCTGGCCTTACCAGTAATAGGGTGTAAATTGTTTCAGAGAGAGTAGGAACTCCAGCATCTGCAGTTCCTACTATCTCTTACCAGTAATACCCGTATCCCATGAATAAGTAAAGGTAAAATGGGGGCAGTGCACTAACCAATATTTATTCCTAAATTTATTCCTAAATCAACGTTGAAAAACCAAATTATCTGGTCATCATCATATGGCTTTTTGTACCGCGATCATGCTTCAGGGCCGCATGATGGCTCAGTGGTTAGTACTGTTGCCTCACAGCACCAGGTACCTGGGTTTGAATCCACCCTCAAGCAACTGTCTGCGTGGAGCCTGCACGTTGTCCCTGTGTCTGTGTGGTTTCCGTTGGGTGTTCTGGTTTTCTTCCAGAGTCCAAAGGTGTGCAGGTTAGGTGGACTGGCCATGCTAAATTGTCCATAGTGTGCAGGGATGTGTAGGTTATCCATGGTAAATGCAGGTTTACAGGGACAGAGTGGGATGTCCTTCAACAGTCAGTGCAGACTCAATGGGCTGAATCCACTGTAGAGATTCAATGTTTCACCAGGTATTGCATTGGCTGTAAAGTGTTCTGGGGTGTCCTGAGATAGTGAAAGGTGCAAATTAAATGAAAGCCTTTCCTTATTTTTGCTGCTGTTGTTGTCCTTCAATGTTTTCAGTCCCTGTATTCCTCTGGATAGCTGACACTCTACACAGATAAAAAGATGGGGTTGCCAGCAATGCATCAATATTTGCAATCAGCTCCCCATGCACTGTCTGAAGTGTTCTGAGTCATCACCAGAGTTTCCAGATCACACCTCAGCAACCCTTAGATACATGGATACCAGATAGAAGTGGAGACGGAGAGTCTAGAGGGGCAAGTGTGGGTGCCTACCCCTGTCAAGTGAAGGCATATCGGCAGCATTATATTCTCAGACACAACTGTGGGTATCATTGGCCCAAGCAGAGCAAGAGAACACCCTGCAGTTTCCAATGCTAACCCATTGGGGAGTCCCCTCAGAGTGGCAGCTTCTCCCCCAGGTGTCAGCAACTCTAACTGGCAATTGGGTAAACCCTCAAGGGATCTGTTCCCCTCAAGCTTTTTGATTCAGGGTTTACTTTTGGCCAAACATGCCGCATGTGCCTACACAACAATTGTCACTGCACATCATTGTTATTGTCAAGGTGTTCTGAATGGTTTGTGGGATGTAACTGGAATCTATATCAATGCAAATCCATCTGCTGTAGCTTCCGACAGGTTTTTGCTTTGTTTTAAGACTTACATTACCGCAATTGATCAGGAAGGCTCCATGTAGTGTGACATTCTCAGCCATGAGTTGAATCAACGCTGGTGTCTTCATTGTCCCCTTTCCCATCTCCATGGAGTCATTGTCCGCAGGCTCTGTGTTCATTGCTTGGGTTTCTCAATGCTCAAAACTGTCACCTTTACTTGGCTGGGTGATTCCAATGTCCAGCACCAAGTGTGGCACGGTAGCAGCACTACTGACCAAGCTGGTCGGGTCCTAAGGGTTATAGCTGCTAAACTGGGTCTGTGATAGGTGGTGAGGGAACCAACAAGAGGGAAAACATACTTGACCTCATCCTTACCAAAGTATAGGCTGCAAATGCATCTGTCCCTGACATTATCGGTAAGAGTGACCACCGCACGGTCCTTGTGGGGACGAAGTCCTGCCTTCACATTGAGAATACCCTCCATTGTGTTGTGTGGGACTATCATCGTGCTAAATGGGACTGACTTCAAACAGATCTAGCAACTCATGACTGAACATCCATGAGGTGCTGTGGGCCACCAATAGCAGCGGAATTGTACTCCAACACAATCTGTAATCTCATGGTCCGGCATGTCTCCTGCTCAACCATTACCATCAAGCCAGGGGATCAATCGCAGTTCAATGAAGAGCACAGGAAGGCATATCAGGAGGAACATCACGCATAGCTAGAAATGAGGTGTCAATCTAGTGAAACTACCAAATAGGACTACTTGTGTGCCAAACAACATAAGCAGAAAGTGATAGACAGAGCTAAGCAATCCCACAACCAATGGATCAGATCTGTGCTCTGCAGTCCCTGCACATCCAGTTGTGAATAGTGGTGGATGATTAAACAACTCATTGGAGAAAGAAGCTCCACCAAAATCCCCATCCTCAATGATGGAAAAGACCAATACATCCATGCAAAAGATAAGGCTGAAGCATTTGCAACAATATTCAGCCAGAAATGCCAAGTAGATGATCCATCTCAGCCTCCTCCATTGGTCCCCAGCTTCTCAGATGCCAGTCTTCAGCCAATTCGATTCATTTCACATGATATCAAGAAACAGTTGGATGCACTAGATACTACAAAGGCCTTGGGGCCTGACAACATTCATCAAAAGTCATGAAGACTCATGCTCCAGAACTTGCCACTCCTTTAGCCAAGCTGTTCCAGTTCAATTACAACACTGGCATCTACCCGACAATGTGGAAGATTGCCCAGATATGTCACATACATAAAAAGGAGGACAAATCCAATCTGGCCAATTACCGCCCCATCAGTCTACTTTTGATCATCAGTAAAGTGATGCAAAGTTTCATCAACAGTGCTCTGAAGTAGTGCCAGCTCAGCACTAACCTGCTCACTGGCACCCAATTTGGGTTCCGCCAGGGCCATTCAGCTTCTGAGCTCATTACAGCCTTCATTCAAACATAGACAAAAGTGCTGAATTCAGAGATGAAGTGAGAGTGACAGCCCAAGGACACAATTGACTGAGTGTGACATCAAGCAGCCTTAGCAAAACTGGAATCAATGGGAATCAGAGAGCAAACTCTCCACTTTTATAGTCATACCTGGCACATAGGAAGACAGTTGAGATTGTTGGAGTTCAGTCATTTCAGCTCCAGGATATTTCTGCATGAGATCCTCAGGGTAGTGTCCTAGGCCCAACATCTTCAGCTGCTTCATCAATCACCTTCCCTCCATCGTAAGTTCAGAAATGGGAATGTTCGCTGATGATTGCACAATGATCAACACCATTCACAACGCCTCAGATACTGAAGCAGTTCATGTTCAATTGCAACAAGATCTGGACAATATCCAAGCTTGGGCTGATAGGTGGCAAGTAACATTCACGCCGTACAATGTCAGACAATGACCATCTCCAATAAGAGACAATCTAATCACTTCCCCATGACATGCAATGGTGTTACTATCACCGAATTCCCCATTATCAACATCCTTGGGGTCACCATTGACTAGAAATTCAGTTGGATTCAGCATGTAAATACAATGGCTAAAAGGCCAGGTCAGAGGCGAGAAATACACAGCGATTGATATGCCTCCTGATTCTCGAAAGTCTATCCACAACCTACAAGGCACAGATTAGAAGTGTGATGGAATATTCTCCACTTGCCTGGATGGGTGCAGCTCCAGCAACACTCAAGGGGCTTGACACTGCCCAGGACAAAGCAGCCTGCTTGATTGACACCATATCCACAAGCATCCTCTCCTCCTACCAACAATCCTCATTAGCAGCAGTGTGTACTATCTGCAAGACACATTGCAGAAATTCACCAAAGGTCCTTAGACAGCACCTTGCAAACCCTTGACCACTTTCATCTAGAAGGACAAGGGCAGCAGATATTTGGGAACACCATCACCTGCAAACTCCCCACCAAGCCACTCACCGTCCTGACTTGGAAACATACTGCTGTTCCTTATCTGTAACTGGGTCAAAATCCTGGAACACCATTCCTAATGGCACTGTGGGTCTGCCTATAGTACATGAACTGTAGCAGTTCAAGAAGGCAGCTCAGCACCACCTTCTTAACAGCAAGTAGGGACGGGCAATAAATCCTGGCCAGCCAGTGATTCCCTTAGCTCACAAGTGACTAAAACAAAAAAAAGATGGGTACCAGTTATCTGTGAGCATCCAGTTGGAATGTTTGCTTTGCTCAGGGACAGTGAACTGGGCAAGAAAAAAAAATCATGGCAGTTTTCCATGAATCTTGTGTACAGTTGTCTTTTTGTATTTGCACATTGATGGAGTCGAAGCCTTTCTGGTTCATTGATGATCTGACTGTCTAATGGTCACATGCCACACGTGTGTAGCCTATAATGTGCTGCACCTGGGGAAAACCACCCAACACTGCAAACCTGAGCACTTGCTCATTCTGACATAATTGGTGGTAAAGTGGACATTGATAACAAACATTGCATCAGTACGATGCGTTTGTGTCCAGCTCACTGCAAGATCCTGCAATATCTGTAGTACAGCAGGATACTGAGATAAAAAGGTTGAGTGTGGTGGTGACCACCACAGCTACTTGGCAGCATCTCTGATGTGAGACCCCAAGCATCCTGAGGCACTGCTGCTCCAACATGTCCAGGAAGCTGATCATTTTCCTGTACAGCCTGTGCTGTGGCTATCATCTCCTATAAGCTGCCCTCATCCCATTTCTCCTGTAGAGAGGTAGATTTGTGAGGAGAAAGATGCTGCTACTGCTCCTACCCCTTTTGGTAGTGTCCTGCTGCTAGTGTTGTTGATGCTGCTGGTCATTTGGCCCCCATCTGAGGTGCAACCTAAAACAGCATGGAGACACCTACTCATAGCTGCAAAGTGGAAATTCAACACACAAACGTACACAGTAATGGCAGTCGCTTTTAAGGTAGTAAAAATAGTCTCTCAGTATAAGCACTACAAGCAAGTGCTTTCCCATAATTAGGCAAGCAATCAGTGGTGAGGTTTTGGTACTTGAAGGGAATATTTGTCAGTCATTTCTTCACTTCTGAATTGCCAATGTGCTCTCATCTTGTTTTCATTTGGGTGTTCCAGAACATCTGGTGAATTGTATGCACATACAGTATAATCTACAAATACTAGTTAATACTGTTCTCCGTGATTCATAGCATATTGCGGTTGCTGATGGGCCTGGCCTGAGACTCAATTTTCCAGCATTGTTTTTTGTTTCAGATCTCCAGCATCTGCAGCATTTTGCTTTTATTTGAAATGTTTTTGATTGTTTAAGTCTGAATATTGTACTTATCAAGTATTATTGTTTGAATATCATATGAAGTGTAACATCGGTGTTTCTTTCAGCATCACAGCAGGCAAACTAAAAGAAATCTAGCCCAGAAGTGTTTGAATTTTCCTGAATCTATCAACATCTTAACAGCCTAACTCTAATTAATATTCAGTTGTGGTGACACATGATAATGCATACGCATATTATACCATGTTATAGGACCAAGAATTGTATTTCTTTCAAAAGTTTTGGCACACATTCCATTGTTTCTAATAAATGTGAGAGGAAATAGAATAATTTTAGAGTCATAAGTAAGAACCATGAAGTTTATTTCCACGGTTCATTTTTTTCCCTTCTGCTGTTGATGTTGACCTGCTGTGCAACAGCAGGTGACTGAGAGAACAAGACAGCACCTTGCTCTCAGATCTGTCAATGTTGCTGTCTAACCACTGGATGGAAATGTGCATGAGGGTTACAAAAGATATTCCATTTACCCCAGTAGTCACATCATTAATTAATCTGTCCCTGATCAGACAGATTCAGGCAGGATTGAGAAATCACTATCATAGACAGCTTGGAGCTTGTAAAACTATTCATGCAGTCATTGTGATAGACCCTACTTACCAAAACTTAAAAGTACTGTTAGTAGTCAGACTTGGCCAGTACTTGTGCAGATCGGTCCAAAGATTCTGAAATAGAGTAACAATAAAGTTAAAAGTTTAATTGAAAATCTGATTTCCATTTTTATCATTGATGTTCCATGCACAAAAATTGCAAAAGTATGGCAACTGCATCAAACATTTTGGTTTATAAGTATAGTGTAAGAGTGAACAAAATAAAAACTGAGATGAATTAAGTATTCGCTTGTGTCCTGTTCCTTTTAGGACTTTGGAATAGAATTTGTATGCATTTTTAACATAAGAGGAAATAGATCCAAACTTAGAAATTCTACAATTATTGTGAATAAAGTGATAATGTCCATGAGGCTGATGAAGTATTTTCAGCCTAAGAGAAACATTACTTTGGAAATAAACTTTTTCTTCCCAAAAATATAGTTCATTCATAAAATTTGCAAACAAAAACACTTTGTTTTGAACATTATGGGACCCATATGATAATTCAACTTGCGCGACTATGACAGTGTTCATATTTAGCAAATACATTCCATGTCAAGTATGCAACCCAATGGTAAAAAATGTAAAATTACAAATAGCGTGTGAAGTTCTCTGTATAACATCTTCACTCTAAAGTGCCGCATTAAATTTTTAATACTCTTGATTTATAACATGCATGCTTTGTGAGGCACACGGCCTGACAGATATTACAGTTTCCAGACCCTCAGTATACTGTGGCTGAAAGTTCTCAGACAATGATCATTCTCCATTGCATCTCTGCAGTGGTTGCTCCAAGCTTCAGTGTGTCCCTCCCGAGATGCTCCGGACACAAGAGACAGGCTACAGTCCAGTACACGCCGCCTGTGTCAGAGTCTGAATCAGAGGATCCAGACCTGAGGTGAAACATTGCAGAAAAACTACAAGAAAAAGGCCAGGCCTACAACTCTGGACTACAAAATCCTTGATTGGGGTCATTAACCCGGGCCAATCTGGAAGCCCGGGCCCACCAGTATTAACACGGAATGTAGAATCTCCTCCATTCAGGGGACTGACTCTGAGCTGGCTGGCCACAACCAGTGTACTGTGCACAACTAAACACAGGGTGACTTGGTGACAGGATAATGGCCTCTGTGCAGTTATTTCACATCCTTCATAGAATGATAGAATCCCTACAGTGTGGAAGCAGACCATTCAGCCCAAATGTCCACACCAACCCTCCAAAGAGCATCCCATCCAGACCCATCCACCTATTCTATCCCTGTAACCCTACATTTCCCATGATGGCTCAGTGGTTAGCACTGCTGCCTCACAGCGTCAGGGACCTGGGTTTAATCCCACCCCCTGGGTGACTGTCTGTGTGGAGTTTGCACATTCTCCCCATGTCTGTGTGGGTTTCTTCCAGGTGCTCCGGTTTCCTCCCACAGTCCAAAGATGTGCAGGTTAGGCAGATTGGCCATGCTAAATTGCCCGTAGCGTTCAGGGATGTGTAGCTTAGGTGGGTTATAAGGGGATGGGACTAGGTGGGATGCTCCAAGTGTTGTTGTGGACTTGTTGGGCCGAAGGGCCTGTTTCCACACTGCAGGGTTTCTATGTTCTACTAATTCATCTAGCCTACAAATCCCTATGGGCAATTTAGCACGGCCAGTCCAACTAACCTGAACATCTTTGGACTGTGGGAGGAAACTGGAGCATCCTGGAGGAAACCCACGCAAGCACAGGGAGAATGTGCAAACTGCACACAGACAGTCACCCAAGGGTAGAATCAAACCCAGGTCCCTGGCGCTCTGAGACTGCAGTGCTAATCACTGAGCCACCATGCTGTTCCTTACCACCACCTGATCCACCAGAACATTGAGGTCTCTGATGGCAAACCAAAGTGCTTCTCTGGACCATTTTCTTGGTGATAACTATGCAGGACCACAGTGCAAAAAACAATTCCTGGGTTGCAGCATCTAAAGTGCTGCCCAGCTGCGGTCTAAAGATGGCACTAGCGGCGTGAACGTCACAAAATCCCAGTTTCAGCGAACACTTCCACCTCTCCAGCTGCACAACACCATGAGACGGGCACCGAGGAGATTCTTTGCATAATTGATGAAATGAGTACAGAAGATTGCATGTGAAAAGTTGCCATGCTTCATGGCAAACCGGGGACATGTATCTCATTCTAGTAAACACTTGCCAAGAAATGGGAATTTCAATCCTTTGATTCATCTTTTAACTTGTACAATATCTACCAATCCAATAGCCAATTATCAGAAATTCTGATATGTGGTTAGTGTTTATTTCCAAAACATTCATCATTATCCATTTACACTGATGAATTTTGTATATTGGAATTCTTGAATTTTGTTTGATCCTCAGTGATAATGGTGTGATATATTCACTGTCAAATCTCTTGACTGCTGTGACAAAAATACAGTTTACATTTTTCTCTTAGAAACTTCTGCCAAACTGAGATTCTTGTAAGTTCAGATGTTAGTATTTGGGTTCCACAGTTCAAATCAATGCAAAATCTCTACCGCTCACAACAGAGCTAAGCTTTCTGTGGTGATATAGATAGGCTATTGACACTGATTCTTGTTTTAACTCAACTTTTTAAAAACTTAAATGTTAGTTTATTTAAATTATTTATTCTCCCCATGTCAACTGTGGCTGTATATTATCACACTTGCCACCAAATCACAAGGATCCAGCTAGAAATCCCACTCCAGGGCTTGAGTACAGAAGTCCATGCTGACACTCCAGTACAGCACTGAGGGAGCACCGCAATAACAAAGATGTGATATTTCAGATGAGACCATAAACCAAAGCTCCATTGCTTGGATAAGTAAATTTAAAATATCCCATGGATCTATTTTGAAAAAGAGTAGGGGAGATCTCTTTGGCTTTTTGGTGAATATTCATCCCTCAAAAACAGAACATCTGGACATTAATTCCCTTTTTTTTTAGTTCTTTAATGAGCCTAAATTAGCTGCTGCATTTTCTGCAAGGTAACACTGACTGTTAGTCAAAAGTTACTTCATTTGCTGTAAAGCACTTTGAGGCATCCAGTGGTTATGAAAAGTAATATGTAAATGTAAACCATCTCATCCATCAGCACCTCCAGATCTCTGTCAGTGAATTAAAATACTTTTCTGGGCCATTTCCTTGGGGACAACAGTATCATATAATTGTTCATCACTGCGAGGTGTGTCATGGCAGAAGAAGTGTCATGAACACATTATTTGATTATTTTTCCTTACCCCAATTTCTTTTTGAGCTAATTTCCAAGTAAGATTGCAGAATTCTTTCCCATCTGGCCTGGAATTAAATAAAAGTTATGTATTTAATTCTGGATAGCTGTTGAGGCCAGTGAAGCACATATATAATAGTCAACTCATTCAATTTTATTTGAGAAGTGGCATGGTGGCTCAGTGGTTAGAATTGCTGCCTCACAGTGCCAGGGACCCAGGTTCAATTCCACCTTTGGGCAACTGCCTGTGTGGAATTTGCACATTCTCCCCGTTTCTGCCGGGTGGCCCAGTTTCCTCCCACAATCCAAAAATATACAGGTTAGGTGGATTGCCCATGCTAAATTGCCCATAACCTTCAGGGATGTGTCGGCTAAGTGTTTTAGCCATGGGTAAAGGGATGGGTCTGGATAGGATGCTGTTCAGAGGGTTGGTGTGGACTTGTTGGGCTGAATGGCCTACTATAGGGATTCTTCTAGGATTCTAGAGAAATCCAATACATCAAATAAAATTGTGAGTCCAACCATCTCAATTTGGCCAGAACAAACAAATTCAGCAATCAATCGAAGTCAACACATTGTACCCAGATAAACATGTACAATACTGTTAAACGATTGTTTAAAAACGCTATACAATTTTTTCTAATCAACCTTCTTCCTACAGGTATTTCTGCTATAACACATTTCGTAACCGCAAATTGGCCGTAACGCGATTGATGAATAATGGATGCTGTTTGGATAATGTGAACTTTCTACTGTACAGTATAGCAATATTTTATAACGATTTCCCTATAATGTGATTTTCTATGGCACAAGGTCGCACAAGAATGCAACTAACATGTTATAGGAGAAATTTTCCCACTCAAAGACTGAGATCCTATGTCAGGTCATGATAATTGGGAAATCTCCAGGCTTGCTTCACCACCTTGGGAAAAAGTGCCACAAGTGGTATGTTCTTTATAACTGGCGTGGGGAAGCAGGTGTGGGATGGAGTTCAGACATAAGTTCATACATAAGGAGCAAGAGGGTAACTAGAGAAAGGGTTGGCCCACTCAAGGACAAAAGAGGGAAGTTATGCGAGGAGTCAGAGAAAATGAGTGAGATTCTTAATGAGTACTTTGCGTCGGTATTCATCGAAGAGAGGGACATGACGGATGTTGAGGTTAGGGATAGGTGTTTGATTACTCTAGGTCAGATCGGCATAAGGAGGGGGGAAGTGTTGAGTATTCTAAAAGGCAGTAGGGTGGAGAAGTCCCCAGGTCCGGTTGGGATCTATCCCAGGTTACTGAGGGAAGCAAGAGAGGAAATAGCTGGGGCCTTAACAGATGTCTTTGCAGCATCCTTGAGCACGGGTGTGGTCCCGGAGGACTGGAGAATTGCTAATGTTGTCCCCTTGTTTAAGAAGGGTAGCAAGGATAATCCAGGTAATTATAGACTGGTGAGCCTGACGTCAGTGTTGGGGAAGCTGCTGGAGAAGATACTGAGGGATAGGATCTATTTACATTTGGAAGAAAATGGGCTTATTAGTGATAGGCAGCATGGTTTTATGCAGGGAAGGTCATGTCTTACCAACTTGAAAGAATTCTTTGAGGAAGTTGATAGATGAGGGAAGGGCTGTAGATGTCATATACATGGACTTCAGTAAGGCGTTTGATAAGGTCCCATGGTAGGCTGATGGAGAAAGTGAAGTCGCATGGGGTCCAGGGTGTACTAGCTAGATGGATAGAGAACTGGCTGGGCAACAGGAGACAGAGAGCTGTAGTGGAAAGGAGTTTCTCAAAATGGAGAACTGTGACCAGTGGTGTTCCACAGGGATCTGTGTTGGGACCACTGTTGTTTGTGATATACATAAATGATCTGGAGGAAAGTATAGATGGTCTGATTAGCAAGTTTGCAGATGACACCAAGATTGGTGGAGTAGCAGATAGTGAAGGGGACTGTCGGAGAATGCAGCAGAATATAGATAGGTTGGAGAGTTGGGCGGAGAAATGGCAGATGGAGTTCAATCCAGGCAAATGCGAGGTGATGCATTTTGGAAGATCCAATTCAAGAGCGAACTATACGGTAAATGGAAAAGCCCTGGGGAAAATTGATGCACAGAGAGATCTGGGTGTTCAGGTCGATTGTAACCTGAAGGTGGCAATGCAGGTCGATAGAGTGGTCAAGACGGCATATGGCATGCTTTCATTCATCGGATGGGTTATTGAGTACAAGAGTTGGCAGGTCATATTACAGTTGTATAGGACTTTAGTTCGACCACATTTGGAATACTGCGTACAGTTCTGGTCACCACATTACCAAAAAGATGTGGATGCTTTGGAGAGGGTCCAGAGGAGGTTCACCAGGATGTTGCCTTGTATGCAGGGTGCTAGCTATGAAGAGAGGTTGAGTAGATTAGGATTATTTGCATTAGAAAGACGGAGGTTGAGGGGGGACCTGATTGAGGTCTACAAAATCATGAGAGGTATTGACAGGGTGGATAGCAAGAAGCTTTTTCCCAGAGTGGGGGACTCAATTACTAGGGGTCACGATTTCAAGGTGAGAGGGGAAAAGTTTAAGGGAGATATGCGTGGAAAGTTTTTTATGCAGAGGGTAGTGGGTGCCTGGAATGTGTTGCCAGCGGAGGTGGTAGAGGCGGGCACGATATCGTCATTTAAGACGTATCTAGACAAATACATGAATGGGTAGGGAGCAGAGGGATACAGATCGTTGGAAAATAGGCGACAGGTTTAGATAGAGGGTCTGGATTGGTGCAGGCTTGGCGGGTGAAGGGCCTGTTCCTGTGCTGCAATTTTCTTTGTTCTTTGTTCTTTGAAATAATGCTACGGAACAAGTAAACCAGAGCCGCAGGCTAAGGTTCTTAGTAACAAGGATCAGAACAAAATTTAGGAATTTGAGAGTTTCACTAGTTTCAGAGTTGGGGGATGATAACATACAAAAATCCTTGAAACAACGTTAGCCACTGGTGAAGTTCCGGAAGACTGGAGGGTGGCTAATGTTGTTCCATTGTTTAAGAAAGGTAGCAAAGACAAGCCAGGGAACTACAGGCAGTCAGCCTGACATCAGTGGTAGGCAAGTTATTGGAGAGGATACTGAGGCTCAGGATCAACCAACATTTGGATAGTCAAGGTGTGATTAGGGGTAGTCAGCATAGATTTGTGCATGGGAACTCATTGTCTGACAAATCATTTAGAGTTTTTTGAAGAGGCAACCAAGAGGATGGATGAGGTTAGGGCAGTGGATGTTGTCTATATGGACTTTAGTAAGGCATTTGACAAGGTCCTGCACAGTAGGCTAGTCATGAAAGTTAGGTCGCATGGGATCCAGGGAGAGCTAACTAATTGGATTCAAAATTGGCTCAATGGTAGGAAGCAGAGGGTGATGTTTGAAGGTTGTTTCTCAGACTGGAGGCCTGTGTCACAGGGGTCGGTGCTAGGACCTTTTCTGTTTGTTATTTACATAAATGATCTGGATGTCAATGTACAAGGCATGATTAGTATGTTTGCGGATGATACAAAATTCAGAGGTATCGCTGATAGCAAAGAAAGTTATCAAAAATTACAGAGGGATCTTGATCAGAATGGGAAGTGGGCTGAGGATTGTGAAATGCAATTCAATACAGATAAGTGCGAGATGTTGTACTTTGGAAAGTCGACCCAAGGTATGACTTATACAGTAAATGTTAAGGTCCTGAGGAGTGTCGTAGAACAGAGAGACCTAGGAGTACAAGTACACAGTTCATTGAAAGCAGCATCACAGGTGGACAGGGTGGTGAAGAAGGTATTTAGCATGCTGGCCTTCATTGGTCGAGGCATTGAGTAAAGGAGTTGGGATGTTATGTTATAATTGTATAAGTTGTTGGTGAGGTCGCACTTGGAATATTGTGTACAGTTTTGGTCACCTTATTATAGGAAAGACCTAGTTAAACTGGAAAGTGTACGAAGAAGATTTACGAGGATGTTGCCAGGACTAGTTGGCCTGAGTTATAGGGAGACATTGGCCAGGATAGGACTTTATTCCTTGGAACGTAGGAGAATGAGAGGTGACCTTATTGACGTAAAATCGGGAGGAGTGTAGATCAGATGAATGCATATTGTCTTTTTACCAGGGATGGGGAATTAAAGACTGCAGGGCATTGATATAAGGTGAGAGGGGATAGATTTAAGGAGGATCTGAGGTGCAACTGCTTCACACAGAGAGTCGTGCGTATATAGAAAGGGCTGCTGGAGAAAATGGTTGAAGCAGGTACAATAGCAACATTTTAAAAACATTTGGATAGATACATGGATGGGAAGGGTTTAGAGGGATATGGACCAAATGCAGGCAATTGGAACTAGCTGAGTGGGCACCATAGTCAGCATGGACCAGTTTGGGCGGAATGCCTGTTTCCATGCTGTATTACTCTATGACTCTATGACTGGTCATTCCTTACAAAATAGCCAGAATCAATCATTTATTAGCACAGATGTAGTGTTGAGTGAAATACCCTTGTTGTTAAGTAGACTGTGAATGAAGACAGCACAGATGAAATTGGATGTGGAAAATGACGAAGCTATTGTAATTTGTGAAAACCTGTGAATTTGACATTTAGACAGTCAGGACACAATTGTATTTCATTAATAGAGTATAACGTCTCTACGAAAGAAATTAAAGAAGCTGTATTGACACCAGGGGTAGAAATTTTAGAAGTCAATAATTCAATTTTGTTAGTTACATAGACAATTTACCCACCTGTCTTCTAAAAGATTAAAACTTTTTAGTGAAGGATGAAGAAATAAAGGATTGATATACAATCAGCTAATACAAGAGACAGTGATAGATTTGAGATTACTGAGTAATATCAGAGGACATCGTGCCCTATTAGTGAGCCTCCCCTTGGCCAGAGACTCTAAAGACGTAGTAGCTATAAATTTAAAAGGTATGAAATAAAGAAAAGAAATGCATTTTACATTTTTTGATTTGGAAGCTAGATTTTGTCTGTCAACAATAGTACATAGTAAAAATAAGAAAATTATTGTGGATAAGGTAATGGATTTGGTCCGCCAGCAAAGTTTCTCGCTTATAATTGATGGGTGGGGTGGCGGGGGCAGTGGGCAGTTTACTAATGATTAATTCAGAGATATCTATGCAATTATGAAAGTAATAATTATGAATACAGCAGCAGAATGCCCTGTAAGAAGTAGGATATGTAAAAGAAAGCATGAGTAATAGACTACATGGTTCATAAAATTTCGGCAGACTGTAAAGCTGCAATAGCATAGGCTGTACAATCTAAGAATTTGTTGGAGATGGTGGGAGGCTATAGTCCATATCAGTTATACAAAACAAAGAACTGCAGATGCTGGAGATCTGAAACAAACAAAAACAGAAATTGATGGAGAAACTCAGCAGGTCTGACAGCATCTGTGAAATGTTAATGTTTTGAGTCCATTGACCCATCTTCAGACTAATATCAAGCTTGCTTCAACCAAACTAAAAAAAATCAAAATAAGCACCTAAATAATTTGGGATTTTATTTGATGTCTATAAAATATTCTGTACACCATTATGTCCAGCAATCATGGATGGCACTGAGTTTACCAGTGGGCACCATATGCCCATTCCCCAAGGCCACTTTATAATATTTTCGACACAATACAGTAAAGTCGCCCTTAATGTTCAAATCTATTGTTTCCAAACCATGAACCAATAGGAAGCCTGCACACATAATGAATGATAATTCAGTGTGGGGACAAGATTCCCTCATATGCCTGTAATAAAATGAAAGAGGACAGATAGATAAATGTGATAGATGGAGACTTCAGATTGACTTCCTGTGCTTAATGTCCTGACACTGGAATTGTGAACTAGGCATCCGAACCGTCTGAACATGAAGCTGATTTCCACTTTGATGGAATAGAAGGCACATAATGGTTGATTTGTAAGGGTCATGTGAAAATATTCTCAATCAGTTTTGCAATATGCCTGTAACAAAATTAAACTGCTAAGCTCTACAGATATTATAATATTTATTTTTAATTACCACAGTCCATGTATCGTCCAGCCATCCACCTGATTTGGAATCTTGCAAAAATGCTTTGAAAAAGTCTAAAAGGATGGGAATAATTATTTTCAGGTTTTTTTTGTATATTTTTCTGCATCATGAATATTCCATTTCGATATCCACCCAGCAGCATTTTTAAATAATTAAACTGTAAATTATTTTTAGAGGTTCAAGTGATAATGTGGTACTATAGCATAATATACTTTTCTAAAATAATTAGAACCATTTCAGAGGAACAATGTTAAGAAGCTGCCACAGAGATTGAGGGAAAGATCAAATCTAATAGAGATAGCTGTTTTGCACGCTTTGCTGCAGGGAGGTGTCACTTCACAATGTTTATCTTTCACACTTAGATCAAAATGAAGAGGATTAAACACACTTTGGGCATATTTCTAACCAAATGAGTTGGTTTGCTGTATCACAGCCTGTAATTTGTACACGATAGTTTTGAATATAGTGACGTTAACCCTTTGTTTTTCGGAAAAGAAAATCTACAGAATCTTATGCCCTCTCCTTTGATGAGTTTGGTGATATTTAATCACGTGGGAGGATGTTGGGTGGGGACCCTAACCCCTTTGTGGTTCCATCCTAGTTAAGCATGTGGCAGGAGGGTCTGTGTGCAGCATTCCCAATGTACTGCCACTTGATGCCCTTAAGTGGCCTAATATTGCTCACTTAAAAATCTTATCCTGCCCCACTGATAGTAACCCCATATAGGGTTGCTTGCGTTTCTGGCAGAGTGAGGGTTGGTCTCGTGTTGTTAGGCACTTGTTGCCTGATTGAGAGTCTTGATGTCAGGAGGAGTGAGGATATGCTAAGATCCACCCCTCCACTCTTGCTGTTCTCTAGACGCCTCTCCCCCGTGAATCCCTCCTCATAACGCTTACCTCCAATATGGGTCACTCTACAATCCTGCCCCTCCAGATAATTTATTTTCGTCAGCAGCTACCATCTCCTGCTGGAACTGCTGAGCAAGAGATATGCTGCCCATGGATATTGATCCCATAGAAAGACTGCAGATGCCTGTTAATTGCCTGATTGGCTCAATTTGGCAGGCAATCCAAGGCAACATAAATCTCTCACTCGCAATCCAGCCAGTGCCTGAGACCCTTGACGCTTCCTTCAAATTCTCCATCATGTTCTTATTGCTTCCTGCCTGCTAGAATAAGTGTATTTTCTACTAACAGGAGAATTTGTGACTAATGGGACTGATTTTTCTGACATCTTTTACTTTGCTAATGTAAACAGCATAACCAGCTAAACACCTGAACTACAATTTTTACAAAAGCCTCAGTACTACATTATAAATGCCATATGTTATAAACCCCCCACAAGTCAAAGTGAATAAATACTAAGTGAAAGAAAGAAATACATTTATGTCTTATTGTATTGACTTTGAGGTAACAGCCCTTATGCTTAACTATAGCAATGTCAACAAAATGTTTAGGACACTCAGCCAGACAGGGACATATGAATCCAAATGGCTAAACTCCTGATCCAAGCAGTAGATTAATGATCATCTTAAAAGCAGAGGCACAGAGGTTTCAGCAGAAAATTCCAGAATGTAGGGCTAATACAGCTGAAAACACAATAGCCAATGGTGGAGCAATTAAAATCAAGGATGCACATTACAACAGTACTGAATTGGAGGACAATGCTAATTACGAAAATTTTAGGGATAGAAGAGATAACAGAAATGGGAGGGAGTTGAAAAGAAGAATCAGAATTTTAAAATTGAGGTGATATCTAACTGGGTGCCAGTGAATGTCAGCAAGCATAGGAATAATGGGTGAAAGAGAATTGATGCAAGAGAAATAATTAAGTTTTTGATGAGCACATTTTTATGAAGGATGGAAGTTAGTTAGCCTCTAATTGACATGAGACCTATGCACAGGTATTTCTGCTATAATGCATGTTTCATTGATGTGAATTGGCTGTAACGCGTTTGATGAATAGTAACCGCTGTTTGGATAACATGAACTTCCTACTGTCAGTATAGTGATTTCCCCATAACATGATTTTCTATAGTGTGAGGTCACACAAGAACGCAACTATCGTATTAAAGGAGAACTCCCTGTATTCCTAAAAGGAAGTACCAGATCCGGTTGGCAGCTAAAGTTTGCAACCATGCCCCGGTCTGCACACTCTCCATAGATAATGTAATCAGAGACTAACTGTATCTGTCGCATTTTGGTAAATATTATTATTGCAACTAAATTTAAGAACCATTGCTGCACCAGGACATACAAGCTGACTGCCAGAGTCTAACATAAGAAGATATTCTGTGAAAAGAGTTAGCATAGTAGAGACTATACATATATTTTTGATTATGAACTGTGAAAAATGAAAGTTTGGAGAATGTATCAAGCGAATTTTTTTTGCAAAGGTCAAAAGTGGAACTGTAATTTTGCTTACTGGTTACACAGAGTTATGTAACCTTTGGAAAGCTGGATTTGATGCAATTGTGAGACAAGAGGGCACCAGGTGCTTTTGTATTTTAAACCTGCATAGCAACAATGTTTAGATTTATTGAGTTGCAGTCTGTTACAGTATTGTGGGAATGCAGTTGAACCCTGACCTCTCAAAAGCCTGCAAGTAAACATAAACCTCTGTTTGGGTACTAGTAACTAATAATCCAATTTAGACATGCAGAATTTGCAGAACCAAAACAGAAATTGCTGGAAAAACTCAGCAGGTCTGGCAGCATGTGGAGAGAAATCAAAGTTAACGTTTCGGGTCTAGTGATCTGTTCTGAAGATTTGGCCTGTATCCCTTTAAACCTTTCCTATCCATCTATGTCCAAATATCTTTTAAATATTGTACCTGTATTGGCCACTATCACTTCCTCTTGCAGCTCATTCCATATATGCACCACCCTCTGTGAATCACAAAGCTGGCATTCAAGCTCAGCAGGTAATAGAAAGATAAATTGAATGTTGGCCTTTATTTCAAAGGAATGGAGTATAAAAGTAGGGAGGTATTGCTGAAGCTATACAAGGCATTGTCAGACACAGCTGGAATACTGCGAATAGTTTTGAGCCCCTTATCTAAGAAAAGATACTTGGTTTTTGGAGGCAGTCCAGAGAAGGTTCACCGGACTGATAGCAGGTATGGAGGAACAGTCTTATGAGGAATGTTTTGAGTAGATTGGGTCTGTATTAGAACATAGAACATAGAACATTACAGCGCAGTACAGGCCCTTCGGCCCTCGA